GCGTCGATCGTTCAACCTTGAATCGATCGCGGCCCCGATCGTTCAAGGTCGAATTCAATCGAGTCCAGTGGCGTTACCGCGTCTCTCGGTGCTTCCGCGTCGCAGAATTCAACCTTGAACGCTTTCGCCGGCGTCGCCGGCGTCGCCGGCGCGCCATCGCCGCACGAACGTACCGTACCCAAACATGCGACGTCCTGATTTTTTCAGGACGGCGTCCCCGGAAATCCCAGCCCTTTCCCCGGGGTCCTGAGTCGTTTTTTGACGGTCCCGAGGCCCGGCGAGGGCCCCCCGAGGCCGAAGATAGGTAGGCAAAAACCTCCCGTCCTGATTTTTGTTTTACGACGCGATCGTGTCTGGGTGTGTGGGTATACCCTCTCTTCCTCGGAGGCCACGGGGGCGGCATCCTGCGGCGGAGCCCCGGCAGCCCGCGCGACGTCCACGGGCAGCCCGAGGCCGGCGCCGCCGAAGCGCCCGGGCGGCATGGCGCCCGCCCGGGGGGGGCGCCGCTCCCGGGGGCCACCTGGTGGGGGGCCCTGCTCGGGGGGGCTCCACTCCGAGCGCGCTCGGCGCCCGAGGCCACGAATCCGGACTACGCCCAGGAGCGAACCCGATTCATCAGGCCGGATTGCGCGGATTTGTGAACGAGGAGGCAGAGTTTTCGAACATGGACATGCCCGCGCCGATGCTGAATGTACACTCCCAGGAGTGCACAAAAATCCTTCTTCGCCAGGCCTCCTCACGTTGCGAAAGCAAGCGTGACGGAGGCTTTTTGGGGGGCAAATAAGTTCAGCCTCCTGGGGCTCTCACCAGGCCCCGGGATCGTCAACAGAAGCAGCTCGGACACACAGATCGCGACGCCTGGGGTCTGGGTCAGGGGAAGAGACAAAGACCTGGAATCGGCGATACGTCTCCAAAACGTCAGCGATACAGTGGAGGTCAATCCACAAGAAACCTTCCACAAGAAACCCAACCCTGAGACCCCAGGACGTCCATTGATTCTTGGGGTGGGCACGTCACGCTTTGTCCAGGGCACCCTGGAGGCAAGCAGGGTGCTTCTTGGCATGGGTCTTCGCTGTACGTCTCCGACAGGTCAGCGATGGGCCCTAGACAGCACAACCACATGTGCTCCTAGGCAGGCTGGGGCGCCCCGGCCCCGGTCGCCAAGGCATGGGCTCAGACGTCGAGCAGGCTCGGACGGAGACCCTGCGGGGGCCGACTGGCCAGAGGGGCGCCGCTGCAGCAGAGCGGCGCGCGGCGCCGTGCGGGTCGAGCAGTGCGCCACGGCGCGCTCGCGCGGATGCCCCGCGCACATCGCCTCGATGAATTCGCGTATCCATCGGGTCGAGCCTCGGCAGCCAGACCGCAAAGGTATGGACATGGACCTGGGCTAACTCGTGTCTCATACCTCGAAGAGCGCGGATGCGACCCTCACATCCCGCGCCATGGAGAACATGATCGACCCACGAACCAGGAAAGGAATATAGAGATGTAAGACATGGCAACGTTTCAAAAACACCTCATTGGGCGACGGGGAAATGCAATGCTGAGTGCTGTATCGATCTTGATGTACCGTGCCGAAAGCTGTGCTGTGCTGCGCCGTGCTGAACTGCGATGTGCCATGCCGCGATTGTGCTCTATATAGCGTTATTGATCGAGTCCTTCTTTGCATCCGAGTCCTGACCGAACTGATCTGGATCTTAAGCTGGAGCTGCCCGAGCACGTAATAGCTGCCCCAGAGCTAATTGCCAAAGGGGACATGCCAGGAGGACGCGCCGCGGAACGTCTCAAGGGAAGCGCAAGGCGACGTGCCAGGGGGCGTGCCATCGGGACGCACCGCGGGACGTGCCAAGGGGACGCGCTACGGAACGTGCCAATGGACGTGCCACGGGGCGTGCCAGGGGACGCGCCGCGCGACGTGCCATGGGGACTCGCCACGGGACGCGCCACGGAACGTGCCAGGGAACACGTGCCAGGTTGCAATGTTGAGTGTATCGATCTTGATGCACCATGCCGAAAGCTGTGCTGTGCTGCGCCGTGCTGAACTGCGATGTACCATGCCGCGATTGTGCTCTATAGTGTTATGGATCGAGTCCTTCTTTGCATCCGAGTCCTGACCGAACTGATCTGGATCTTAAGCTGGAGCTGCCCGAGCACGTAATAGCTGCCCCAGAGCTAATTGACAAGGGGACATGCCAGAAGGACGCGCCGCGGAACGTCTCAAGGGACGCGCCAAGCGACGTGCCAGGAAACGTGCCATGGGGACGCACCGCGGGACGTGCCAAGGGGACGCGCTACGGAACGTGCTCGGGACAAGCGTTTCGCTCGAGACATCCTGCCCGAATCCTCATTCTAGACATCCACCTGGGTGACTTGGACATGTGAAAACAAGCGTTTCGCTCAACACATCCTCAACACATCCTCATGCTAGACATCCGCATGGGCGAACTGGACACGTGGAAACAAGTGGTTCGCTCGAGACATCCTCAACACATCTTCATGTTAGACGTCCGCCTGGGTGACCTGGGCACGTGAAAACACGCGTTTCGCTCGAGACGTTCTCAACACATCATTATGTTAGACATCCGCCTGGGCGACCTGGACACGTGAAAACACGCGTCTCTCGAGACGTTCTCAACACCTCCTCATGCTAGACATCCGCCTGTGCATCATGGACAGGTGAAAACAAGGCGTCTTGCCCGAAACATCCTCAACACATCGTTTGTCACGCCCTGGGGCGTTAGGAACCCATGTGGTTTCGCGCTTCCCCCGCCCTGGGGCGTTAGGAACCCATGTGTTGTCACGCTTGTCCCGCCCTGGGGCGTTAGGAACCCATGTGTGTTCACGCTTCTCGAGCCTCCTGGAGCCTCCTGGGGGGCGGGGGGGAGCAACAAGCGCTCCCCGAACACACATCCCAATGCAGAAACATGCATCCATGGGCCTCCTGGGGCCTCCTGGGGGCGGGGGGGGGCGAAAAGCGCCCCCCGAACACATATCCCAGTACAGAACAATGCCTCCTAGGGGCCTCCTGACGCCTCCTGGAGCCTCATGGGGCCTCCCGGGGCCTGCAAGGGCGTTAGGAACTCATACGTTTTTGCGCTTCTCCTGCCCTGGGGCATTAGGAAGCCATGTGTTTTCACACTTGTCCCGCCCTGGAGCGTTAGGAACCCATGTGATTTCACGCTTCTCCTCATACGTTTTCACGTATCTCCCGCCCTGGGGCGTTCGGAACCCATGTGTTTTCACGCTTCTCCCGCCCGGGGGCGTTAGGAACCAATGTGTTTTCGCGGTTCTCCCGCCCTGGGGCGTTAGGAGCCCATATGTTGTCACACTTGTCCCGCCCTGGGGCGTTAGGGACCGTTGTGCTTGCACGCTTCTCAAGCCTCCTGGGGCCTCCTGGGGCGTTAGGAGCCCATGTGCTTTTGCGCTTCTCCCGCCCTGGGGCGCTGGGAACCCATGTGTTTTCACATGTGTCCCGCCCTGGGGCGTTAGGAACCTATGTGGTTTCACGCTTCTCTCGCCCCGGGGCGTCAGGAACCCATGTGTTTTCACATGTGTCCCGCCCTGGGGCGTTAGGAGCCCATGTGCGTTCACGCTTCTCCCGCCCTGGGGCGTTAGGAACCATTTGTTTCCAGGCTTGTCCCGCCCTGGGGCGTTAGGAACGATGTGTTTTCACGCGCCTCGAGCCTCCTGGAGCCTCCTGGGGGGCGCGGGGGAGGCGAAAGGCGCTCCCCGAATACATATCCCAATGCAGAACATACGTAAAACATGCACTTCACCTGATACATCCTCTGAATCCTGGTCCCTAGGAGAGAAACAATCTATAACACAAAACAAACGTTTCGCTCGAGACATCCTCAACAAATTCTGAAAACAAGCGTTTCGCTCGGGACATCCTCAACTTTAAAACAATATATAACACAAAACAAGCGTTTCGCTCGGAACATAATCAAAATAATTCAGCCGTCCCCTTCGACTTCGTTAGTTATCGCAGATTAATGTCGCCGGACCTCTTCAAGTCGAGGCCAGGGGTTAACCAACTAGAGAAAAAACCCTGGGCCGGAGCCCTTTCCGGGATAAGGGAACTCCGGCCAGAACGGTCGCCACATTTCTCATTTGCCATGGTGCCCCCGTCCAATGGAATGGCTCTCTCGCTGCAACGCTGGCAGTGCTATTGGGTCAGCATTGGCTCACGTCTCCCCACACTGGTTCCTACGCAATGCCGCACCAAGCAACGCCAGGCTACGCTCTGTTGTTCTCTCCTACGCCATGCAATCTCATGCTACGCCAAGCTGCGCGGCATTTCGCCTTTGGGGATCAACATCTTCTCCGACAACCGACTCTGTGAATAGAGACGGGCTGCACGCAAGTGTAAGGGATGGGAGAGAGGGGTAGGACGCCAGATATGATTGAGCACCACCCCTCTACCACCTCCCTCGTCCTCCCTCCCCTCCACCTCCCCCCCTCCCCTCTCCCCTCCCCCATCCTGCCCCTCCCCCTACTGCTGCTCATCCCCCGCTGCCTTTTTCGGCTACATGCACACCAGAGCGACCCTAGGCGCAGGTGATATTTGGCGCGCGGTGTTCGGGGCCGAGGGGGGGGTCCAACCCAGGCGCGCTCGCTAGTGCCGAGGGACCCTTTCGGGACGGCACCAGAGGCCACCCTGGCGAAGGGTCAATCTTGCGTGAAGTCGAAGCTCCCCCCAAACCCTCGCCGACTGCGGCGCTGGGCGCGCGGGGAGAAGGGAAGAGAAGGAGGAGGAGAAGGAGCATGACGAAATGAGAAGAAGAGGAGAGAAGGGGAAGATGCGCCACTCCGTTATCCTGCCCTGTCTGACGAACCACCTGAAGCAGTTCGAGCGACAACATTCGGTAACGGGAAGGAGAGAGGGGAGGAAAAGGAAAAGAGGAGGAGGAGGAGGAGGAGGAGGGGGAGGAGGAGGAGGACAGGAGGGGGAGGATGACGAGGAGGAGAGAAGAGGAGGAGGAGGAGGAGGAGGAGGAGGAGGAGGAGGAGGAGGAGGAGGAGGCTGCACTACGCCCAGGTCGCGGGCGATTCTCGCGGCAAGACAAGATAATCTCGCGCGTCGCCGCATGCGCGGAGGCGCGCGCGCGGGCGCGCCGGGGGGAGGGGGTGGGGGTGGGGTGGGGGGGGGGGCAAAGATCGGAGGCGGGCGAGGTGGGGAAGCGTGAAGGAGAAGGCCTTCTCAGAAAGGTGGCGAGCCCTTAGTGGGCCCTGGAAACGACAGGGCCGTTTTTTACCGGTTCCGTTTTGCCGTTTTTTTGCCGGTTCCGACGCCGTTGTTTTACTGGTTCCGTCGCCGTTTTTTGACCGGTTCCGGCTCCGGTTCCAATCCTGGAGCCGTTTTTTCGCAGTTTCCGGTCGCCGTTTTTTTGCCGTTTCTATTTTCAAGGGACATTTTTTTGGAAACGGTGAAAAAATGGCCCTGCCGTTTCCGGGGCCCACAAAGGGCGAGCCTTCTCAGAAGCGCTCTGGCCATCTGAGACATGCTTTATGTCTTCGGGGAAAGCTTGGTGGAAAACTTCTCGGATGGCCGGGGGACTCCCGAGCCTTCTGAGAAGGCCCGCCCCTTCTCACTTCCCCCCCGGGCTCGCCGCCGAAAGAAGGAGCGGAGGGGGGCGAACCAAGATCACGAGCGGCGAACGTATCCGTATGAGCGACCTCGCGGTATGGCACGATCCCACGTGTACGCGGAGGCAGGGATACGTTCGGAGCGGGGAACCCTAAAACATGATCGACCCATGAACCCGGAAAGTAGTATAGAAATGTACGGCATGGCAACGCTTCAAAGACACCTGATTGGGCGACGGGCAAATGCAATGATGAGTGTATCGATCTTGATGTACCATCCCGAGGGCTGTGCTGTGCTGCGCCGTGCTGAACTGCGATGTGCCATGCCGCGATTGTGCTCTATGGCGTTGTGGATCGAGTCCTCCTTCGCATCCGAGTCCTGACCGAACTGATCTGGATATTAAGCTCGAGCTGCCTGAGCACATAGGACCTGCCCCAGAGCTAATTGACAGGGGGACATGCCATGAGGACGCGCCGCGGAACGTCCCAAGAGACGTGCCAGGGGACGTGCCATGGGGACGCACCGCGGGACGTGCCAAAGGGACGCACCACGGAACGTGAAAATGGATGTGCCACGGGACGTGCCAGAGGACGCGCCGCGCGACGTGCCAAGGGGACTCGCCACGGGACGCGCCACGGAACGTGCCAAAAAACGTGCCAAGTTGCAGTGCTGAATGTATCGATCTTGATGTACCATCCCGGGGGCTGTGCTGTGCTGCGCCGTGCTGAACTGCGATGTGCCATGCCGCGATTGTGCTCTATAGCGTTGTGGGCCGAGTCCTCATTTGCATCCGAGTCCTGACCGAACTGATCTGGATCTTAAGCTCGAGCTGCCTGAGCACATAGGACCTGCCCCAGAGCTAATTGACAGGGGGACATGCCAGGAGGACGCGCCGCGGAACGTCCCAAGGGACGCCCCAGGCGACGTTCCAGGCGACGTTCCAGGGGACGTGCCAAAGGGACGCACCGCGGGACGTGCCAAAGGGACGCGCTACGGAACGTGCTGGGGACACGCGTTTCGCTCGAGACATCCTGCCCAAATCCTCATGATAGACATCAACCTGGGCGACCTGGACACGTGCAAACGAGCGTCTCGCTCAACACATCCTCAACACATCGTCATGCTAGACATCCGACTGGGCGAACTGGGCACGTGAAAACAAGTGGTTCGCTCGAGGCATCCTCAACACATCTTCATGTTAGACGTCCGTTCCAGGCCCCCAGGAAGGCCACAGGAAGCCCATGTTAGATACCCCCATAGGTGGCCTGGACACGTTGAAGCACCTGGTTTCGCCATGTTGGATACCCTCCTGGGCGGCCTGGACATGTACAAACACATGATTCCAATTCGGGACAAACATGTTAGATACCTCTCTGGGTGGCCTGGACACGTAACAAACACTTGGTTCCAGCTCGGAGCAGCCATGTTAGATACACCCTTGAGTGACCTGGACACATTAAAACGCCTGGTCTTTACTCGGGGCAACCATGTGGGATATCCCCCTGGGTGTCCTGGACATGTAAAAAAAGGTGTGCCGGGTCGGGCAACCATGTGAGATACACCCGTGAGTGGCCTGGACACGTTAGAACACATGGTCCTTGCTCGGGACAATAACGTTCGATACCCCCTGGGTGGCCTGGACATGTAAAAACAAGTGGTTCAAGCTCGGGACAACCATGTTAGATATCTCCCTGGGTGGCCTGGACACGTAAAGACATGGTTCCAGCTCGGGACAACCATGTTAAATACTTCCCTGGGTGGCCTGGACACGTAGAAACACATGGTTCAAGCTCGGGACACCCATGTTAGATATTCCCCTGGGAGGCCTGGACGTGTAAAAACACGTGGGTCCAGCTCGGGACAACTATGTTAGATACGCCCCCGCGCGGCCTGGATACACTGAATTCGCGCTCCCGCTCGAGGGATCCTTGGAATGTCTGCGCTGGAGAGGGCCCCAAAGCGCAACCCCCTATCCAGAACAAGAAAACATAACTTTTCTGGATTGGGAGATGTGTTCGGGTAGCGCTTTTCGCCCCCTCCGTGCGTTTCCTAATAATTCGGCGTTGGGCCCGACGCCATGCTAGATACGCTCCTGGGCGGCCTGGAAACGTAAAAACACGTGGTTCCAATTCGGGACAAGCATGTTAGTTACCCCACTGGGTGGCCTGGACACGTGAAAACACGTGGATCCAGCTCTGGGCAACCATGTAAGATACACCCCTGGGTGGCCTGGACACGTTAAAAGACGTGGTCCTTGCTCGGGACAACCATGTTAGATATCCCCCTGGGTGGCCTGGACACGTGAAAACATATGGCTCCAACTCGGAGCAACCATGTGAGATACACCCGTGAGTGGCCTGGACACGTCAAAATACGTGGTCCTTGCTCGTGACAGTCATGTTCGAGACCACCCTGGGTGGCCTGGACACGTAAAACAAACACGTGGTTCCAGTTCGGGACAATCAGGTTAGATACCCCACTGGGTGGCCCGGACACATGAAAACACGTGGCTCCAGCTCGAGACAACCGTGTCAGATATCCCCCTGGGTGGCCTGGGCCCTCGTTTGGGCCTCCTGGAGAGGGTCAATATATAGAAACCTATGCAAAAACACACGGATTCGTGCCCCTGGGGTGGGCCGTGTTTTATCCATCGGAATGTCAAAAAAACGACGTTTCGCTCGGGACATACTCACACTTTCACTCGCTGGCCCTACGCGACCTCGTTATTATTCATCGCAGATCATTTCGCCGGCCCGTCGCAAGTGAAGACCCGGCCTTTGGCAACGAAGCTAAGAAAGAACCCGAACCCTGGGCCTACGCCCTTTCCGGGGGAAAAATCGCCCCGTATCCGCGGGGTCGCGGCACAGGGGCCTGGCCCGCGAGGCCGCGGATTCGGAGAAGTGGCCCATGGTTCCTGGCTAGGATGGGCCGAGCGGCAAGGATGCGAGGGTGCCTTTGGAAATTTTACTCGAGCTTCTGATCCTGTTCGGCTGTGGGAGACGTACTGTCCATGGAAGATGCATGAAACTCTTGGCATGGCGGTGTAGTTCGCCCACCTCGGTGGAGCAGGGCCTTCGAGGTTCCACATGACACAGCCCGCATCGTGAAGGCATTCACGAGGAGTCTGGGGGCGATTCCTGGGTGGTCTTCGTGGGAACGATCTAATGGCTCCCAAGCCCGATCAGAGAGGCCACCAGGCCAAATTAGACCAGCGTGAGCCCAGACCTGGGCCGGATTACAGCGCGTCCAACTGATGACATCACACAGTAATGATACAATACCCTTACCCCAAAATTTAAGACGAAGTTGGAAACCCGTGGCCCATTACTAAGACCTAGGATAGGCTGACAGGCCAGGGTTCGAGAAACAGAACATGACATAAACATAAACTTTCGGAGGTCCGCGCGAATTTCTTGGATCTGCGCTGGACCCCATGGCGGCGCCTCCGGCGCCGCCCCTGGCGCGCTCAGACGCCGCTCCTGGCGCCCTCCGCGCGAGAGGGAGGGGCGTCCAGCGCCGATCAAAGAAATCAGCGCGGACCTGCGAAAATTCGAATGCTTTATACCACTTTTTGTTTCCCAGAAAGAACAAGGGTGCTCCTGGACAGCTACTCATCTTCAGAATCCTGTCTGACTGCAAACGGGAGGCCAGACCTGGCTACCTAAAAGCGGAACCGGGCCGGAGCAGAAGGGCTCGTGGACCGCGGACACGCCAGCGCCGGTGCTGACTGTGACCCTCCAGGAAACTCCAGGAGAGGTGCACTCGAGAAGGCCCGACATCCGCCGACATGACTTCGGGGAGCAAACAATGACATGTGACGTAAACCATTGGCACAAGCCGCAACCATAGACACTCAGAGGTCCGCGCGATCTTATCGGATCGGCGCGGACCTCCGTCCAGTTGTGCATTTACGCCATGACTTTCTATCCTGTGACTCGCCAGTCCGCGACCTCACAGGTCCCGACCGCTCCCCTGCAGGGCCGGAGTTGCTCGCGCCAGCGCCCCCTCCTGGGGCCCCGGAGGCCGAGGCCGGGGGAAAACAAAAAAACGCGCCAGGATCGAAGGCTCGCCGAGGTTTTCGCGGCAGCGCATGCCGAGGCTCCAGGGAAAGCACACCAGGGTCGAGGAGACGCACGTCGTCGTCGGAGACCTGGGCCTCGGGGGGGCTTGAGCAGGGACCGACCGTCCCGGCATTCCTGTGGGCCTACCACGAAGTGTTCTTAGAACCCCCCAAAAATGTTCTAAGAGCAAGAGCAATAAGCTCAGAACCTAAGCCCGACGCGTGACAACAAGACAGTGCCAGACCAACATGTTCTGAGGACACTTCGTGGAAACCACAAGAGGTTCTTAGGACATTCTTTGGTGGGCCTCTCTAGAGGACGCTTCGCCACTGCATGGAGGGCAGCGACCGCGGAGGCGCGCGGCCGCGGGGACAGGCCGCCCGGCTACAGGCTGGAGCGGTGGGGGACACGCCCACGGGCGAGCCGGAAGCACGGCTCGCCCTTGCCCGGCACGTCGACCTCGGGGCATCGGGGGGGCAACTACTGGGAGGTCTTTTTTTAGGAGGCAACTACCGGGAGGTCTTCGTCGGGAAGATGAAAGAGGAGTGCACCCCATTGGGGGGGCTGTTACGCCAGAGTGGGCCTCGGATTAAGTAAGCGGGATTTCGCCGGATTTTGCAGAACTAAGCGGGATTGAGCCGGATTAAGCAGGATTAAGCCGGATAAAGCTGGATTTCGGACCAGGGCAAAATCAGAATTTGACCTCCCACGAGTTGCATCCGAACTTCTTCGTCGGAAGGACTAGGGAGAATTGAGCCCCATTTGGGGGCTACTACGCCGGATTCGGCCGCGGATTATAAGCGGGATGAGGCCGGATTAGACAGGAGATGAAGCTGGATGAAGCCAGACGTTGGACCAGGACGAAGTCAGAACTTGACCTCCCAGGAGTTGCATCCGACGGGGGAGGATGGGGCAGGATATGTTCCCAACCCTCCTGTGATGGGTTCTCGTCTTGAATCAGAGCACTGCTCGCGCATCTCCCTCCGCATGCTCCTCCCTCGTCCTCCTCCTCCTCCTCCTCCTCCTCCTTATCCTCCTCCTCCTCCTCCTCCTCCTCCTTCGCATGTCTCCTCCTGCATCCTATATGCTGTTTTTCCTTGTATGGACCGTTCGTACGAATTATCGCCTCGCGTCGAGAATGGGTTGGGCAGGTCTCGAGTAAACTGTTTGTTATTTCCCCCGCGCCTATCTCTTCCCGCAAGCTTCTGTTTGTTTGAGGTCCCGTGCCTCCCCAGCACACCATCCGACGGCCTCTACAAAACGACTCAAGGCGGTCGGAACTCTGGTCCGCACAGACCAACGGCGTGACATACCACGACCACGCCCCCGTGGCAAAGTGGGCTGAAACCCCGACGAGTTGTGCGCAGACGACGCCAAGGAGGATGGGGCAGGATGAGTCGGCATCGAATCGGCAGATGCGACCGAATCGAACAGTGCGTCGGGCCGGGCTGCATCGGCACGGAGTCGGATCCGGATCGGCCGCGCCAAGATGCTCAGCCGCGGCGTGCAAGCATCGGGCCGCACCGACTCGTGTGAACATCGGAATCGAAATGGACCCTGGAGAAGGCTAAAGTGGTTCGTTCCAGAAACCCCGAATCCTCCCAAAGCGAGCATCTCACATGGGAAACCGAGAGGTACCGATACCGCTACTCCCCGGACCTCTCCCAGGATGCGTTCTGACTAGGACTCCGAGGCGAATCCGGCGGTGGCGACGGAGGCCTCCCAGGAGGCCCCAGGAGGGGAAAACGAGGGAAGGGCAGAGGTGTGGTGTGTACCTCTTGCTCCTCCTCGTCTGGCCTCTGGAAAGTACCTGCGGGGGGCGGGGCTTTCTCCAGCTCCGCAGCCGGGGAACCGACGCCCTGGGCACTCCGCGGACGATGGGCACGGGTATATTTTGCCCCCCGGGGCCCGACTACATCCATGTCCACCGCCCCTCAGTCTCCGAAGATCGATCCGCCATGACTACCTACCAGACCACCCCAACCCAACCCGAGGACCCGAATTTCGGGTTGGGGGGGTAAGGGTTCCACAGGTGTTTTTGTCGATGTTTCCCGGTCCCCCCCTCACTGGAAATCGAGGGTAAATCTGAGCCTTCGGGTTGGGTTGGGGTGGTTTGGTGGGTGGTGACGCCAGGCGGTGGTCGTGTGTCAATTTCCCCCCGTAGGATTCACTGTGACGGCCGCTGGCTCCCGGCCGCCCGCCGCCGGAGGGGCCGAGCAACCCGTTGCACCGCCGCCGGCCTTCCGCCGGGGGAGGAGGTCGTCAGCCTCTCGATGCCTCGACGCCGAGCTTAGTGGGCCCTGGAAACGACAGGGCCGTTTTTTTACCGGTTCCGTTTTGCCGTTTTTCTACCGGTTCCGTCGTCGTTTCTTGACCGGTTCCGGCTCTGGATCCAATCCTGGAGCCGTTTTTTCGCCGGTTCCGGTCGCCGTTTCTTTGCCGCTTCCATTCTCAAGGGACACTTTGTTGGAAACGGTGAAGAAACGGCCCTGCCGTTTCTGGGGCCCACTAAGACGCCGAGGCTCTTCTTGGCGGCGCGCACAAAGGGGGGGAGAGGGGGAGGGGCGAAGGCTTCTTACAGGGAGGCTGCTTCTTAGAAGGCGCCAGCCTTACATCTACAGACAAGGCCCGCGCCTTCTGAGCAGGGTGCTTCAGAGAAGCCCTCCCCCTCCCCCCTGCCCCTCTCTCTGCGCGCGGCCGACCTTCCCGGAACGCCCCAAGGGAGCAGCAGGGATCCTACGGCTCCCTTGGGATCCTGCGGGGATCCTCAGGGAATGCCGGGGATCCACGGGAACCCCAGCAGCGGCTGCCACGGGAGGGGAATCATGCTCCCGATCTTGTTTTCGGTGGTTACGCGGCCACGGTCGCCTGGACGAGAACCCGCCAATGGAGGCGCAGAGACGACAGCCCGGAGGAACAAGGGGAGGGACATGACATGGATGAACCTCAAACGTCACGTTTTCTTCCACGACGTGGACTGGACCTCCAGAGGTCCAGACACCTTCCCAGGGACCAGGTCTGCAGCCCGAACCCTTCTGGTGACGGTCCTGGAGCTGGGTGAAGGCCTCTGGAGGCCGAAGATGGCAGAGGTTCGCAAACTTACCCTAGCAGAGCGCCCTAGTATTGATTCGGGCCTGTCCCCCTACAGGGGGATTTTGGGCGGAAAATTTGAAATATTTAGAAAATACTACCAACATGCGGAAAAAAAAACAAAAATAGTCCCCAGACTATTTTCTTACTATTTTCGAATATCCCTCCTGTAGAGGGACAGGGACAGGCCCGACTTAACCCTAGTAGCAGCAGAAGTGAAGAGGCGGGTCGAGGCGCGGGTCAGCTATGAGGGAGAGGGCTGAAAGTACGGCCATGTGCACCTTCGTGTAGTGTTGTGTCAGGCGTGTCCCCCTACAAGGGGATTTTCGACCAAACATGATCGACCCACGAACCCGGAAAGGAATATAGAACTGTAACACATGGCAGCGTTTTCAAAGACACCTGACTGGGTGACGGGCAAATGCACTGCTGAGTGTATCGATCTTGATGTACCCTGCCGAGGGCTGTGCTGTGCTGCACCGTGCTGAATTGCGATGTGCCATGGCGCGATTGTGCTCTATAGCGTCGTGGATCGAGTCCTCCTTTGCATCCGAGTCCTGACCGAACTGATCTGGATCTTAAGCTCGAGCTGCCTGAACACATAGTAGCTGCCTCACAGCTAATTGACAGGGGAACATGCCAGGAAGACGCGCCGCGAAAAGTCCCAAGGGATGCGCCAGGCGACGTGCCAGGGGACGTGCCATGGGGACGCACCGCGGGACGTGCCAAGGGGACGCGCTACGGAACGTGCCAATGGATGTGCTACGGGATGTGCCAGGGGACGCGCCGCGCGACGTTCCAGGTGGATTCGCCAAGGGACGCCCCACGGAACGTGCCAAGGGACGTGCCAAGTTGCAATGCTGAGTGTATCGGTCTTGATGTACCGTGCCGAAATCTGTGCTGTGTTGCGCCGAGCTGAATTGCGATGTGGTATGCCTCGATTGTGCTCTATAGCGTCGTGGATCGAGTCCTCCTTTGCATCCGAGTCCTGACCGAACTGATCTGGAGCTTAAGCTCGAGCTGCCTCAGCACATAGTAGCTGCCCTAGAGCTAATTGACAGGGGGACATGCCAGGAGGACGCGACGCGGAACGTCTCAAGGGACCTGCCAAGCGACGTGCCAAGGGACGTGCCATGGGGACGCACAGCGGGACGTGCCAAGGGGACGCGCTACGGAACGTGCTGGGCACAAGCGTTTCGCTCGAGATATCCTGCCGACATCCTCAGAATTCCTGCGAGCGGGACGTGAAAACAAACATTTCGCCTGAGACATCCTCTGAATTCTGGACCCCCACGAGGCCCCCCGCGAGGCCCCCGCTCGAGACATTCCCTAATTTTGCAAAACCAGCGTTTCGCTCGAGACATCCTTAACAAATGTTGAAACAACAAGCGTTTCGCTAGAGACATCCTGTCAAAATCCAAAGAAATCCTGGCAAAACAAGCGAATTAGTCGACATATCCTCGACACATCCTCAAAATCCCTGCGCGCGGGACGCGGCACGCGCGAAACATCCTCGGAATTCCTGCGCGCGGGGCGCTTTTCCGCGTCGCGGTCAGCTCTGCAAAACCAGCGTGTCGCTCGAGACATCCTCAACAAATTCTGAAAACAAGCGTTTCGCTCGAGACATCCCCAACTCTGCAAAACCAGCGTTTCGCTCGAGACATCCTCAACAAATTCTGCAAAAAAAACAAGCGTTTCGCTAGGGACATCCTCAAACATAATTCCGCCCGCCCTACTCCCGCACGTAATTTATCGCAGAATAATTTCGCCGGCCCTACAGCCGTCGAAACCGGGGGTAAACATCTAAAAGAGAACCCTGGGCTCGAGCCCTTTCCGGGAAAATAAAAAAAACCAAACAATACACCAAAATACTCAAAAATATTCCCCCGACTATTTTTGGCATATTTTTGGATACTCCCCCTGTAGAGGGACAGGCCCGACTTAACAATAGTTAAGACTTCAAGAAGGAAGGCCCACAAAATATGAAGAACAACATGAACGATACCTCTGCGAAGTCTGTGTTTTGAACACCCGCACAAGCGGGGGGTGATGGGAGAGAAAAAGGCCCTCGGCACGGGAACTGGCGGCATCCAGGGGGGAGGAAGTACAAGCCCCCCAGGGAGGAGGGAGGATGTTGTCCTCATCCCCCCTCCTCCCTCCTGCTCCCCCCAAATCATTCCTCCTCTTCCTCCTCCTCTGTTCATCTCACGCTCCCGCCACCCCTCCCCCTACATATCCTCCTCCGCACCCTCCCTCCTCATCAGTCTTCCCGCTCCTCCTCTCCGTGACCAGCTTGCCAGAGCTCTCGGCTGCACAGCCCATAAAAGGAGCGAGAGACTCACATGTGGCGTGCCGGCCCCCGATTCTCCTGGCTCGATGTTGCCACCACGCTTTCAGGCAGTTGGCCGCCAGTGCGGCTGCGGGGTAGCCGAACCAGAAGGCCCCACAGCAGAACGCTGGTCCTCCCCCCCTCCTCCTCCTCCTCCTCCTCCTCCTCCTCCTCCTCTCCTCCTCCTCCTCCTCCTCCTCCTCCTCCTCCCTCCTCCTCCTCCTCCTTCTCCTCCTTCTCCTCCTCCTCTCCTCCTCCTCCTCCTCCTCCTCCTCCTGCTCCTCTCATGTCCTCTGCTCTGCCCCCCGTGCACGCGTCCTCGCTCACCCTGACGAGGGAGCCTTCAAGCTGGACGCGCATGTCAGTAGCATGCGTCGCTTGAAGCCCCCGGCTAATATGGCATGGGTAGAAGATCATAGATAGCACCCAGGAGATACATCCCATAGATGGAAGAAAGGGCTCCTGAGTCGCCCGCCGTGGGATGGTGCCTGACTCATGTCATCCTGCCACGGACTGTTTACACATACGCACAGTATTGGGGCTTCCTTACCCCTCAACCATCTCTCTCTCTCTCGTTCCTTTTCGGCAGGGGGGGGACAGAGTGCGAGAGAAAGGGAGAGAGAGAGAGAAACAACAAAAAAAAAGAGCAACATGCATCGATAGAAAGAAAAGTGGAAAGCGAGACAGAGGGAGAAAGAGAGAGAGAGAGGGAGGACCATATACACACATAGAAAGAGAATGAGAGAGAGAGGGAGAGAGGAAAACAAGAGAAAGAGAGAGAGGCAAGGATGTAGAGAGATTGCGAGAGACACAGAGACAGAGAGACAAAAAGCGGCCTGCTCGATCCTCGGCTCCACCTCCAAAGCGAGCTTCACCCAGCCCTTGCCACCCAAGGGTTTCTTGACCGCGTTGAGCAGCTCATCCCCCAACGTATCCTTTAGATGCTGGACTAACCTGCCAGCCTCCACATACTCCTTGCCCTGCAGACAAGCCAATGCTTCCCGGATGAGCGTCTGGTGCTTTTCCCGGTCGACCTTCGCGAACACCTCGCTCGACAGAGTGTGGGATGCTGCATGCTTTGGGGCAGAAAGCCGCAACTCAAACAGTATGCCAGAGGATGGGCGGGAAAGGGATCTATCGTGACAGTACCAATGCAACTTCGCTGTTATTGCCGCCCAACGCCCACAGCAAATACATGTGATTCGAAGACGTGTGCGCGTGTCACACACACACACACACACGCGCATATCGATGCTCATCATAAGAATATGGTATCGGCGGCGAGGCGCACACCCATGTATTCAGATTGTTGCGCGCGCCACGAAACACAATGTATGCGGAGGACAAAATTATTGCGACAGTTTGACATGTTTGACGGAGTGATGGCCAAAGGCACGCGTTCATTTCATGTATCGCTTGTGCTTTGTATGATCTTAGTCGCCAGGTCCGTTGCCTCTGGTCTGTGGCAAGCGGCTCCTCCGCGAGAGCCACAGATTTCGACACACGCAGGCGCAGAGCAAGCCAGGGCTGGGTGCGCGGGTGGCGGGACGCGCGGCTCGAGCACGCCACGCCTCCAGCCAAGAACAGGCCGCTGGCGCCATGCTCCCGCGTGCCTCTCCCGGCGCACCCACCGCCCACAGCCACTTCACCCGCCGGCCAACTCGCCCCCTCGCCGTGGCCGCTCCGAACCCCGGCAACGGCGGCCTACCGCAGACAGCGCCGCGCGCCCAGACTTGTCAGGCGTGGCTGGGCCGCGGAGGCCATGAGGCCCTCACAGGCGGAGGGGCCGGCGACCCCCCCCCCAACGAGCGAGCCGCACGAGGCGCATCCTCCTCGCGGCCTGGGCGCGCACGGGCACGCGTCCCACCCACCTGGCGGGCTCCTGCTGCAGGTCGCCCAAGTCCCGTGCGCACCAGATCGCGGTGGCCGTGGAGCCCTGGGAAGAGAGAGGTCGGCGGCGCCAGACGAGCGAACCGCCCACGACATCCTCGCCATCGGGGGGCGCGAGCGGGCACGCGTGTGCCCCTCCCTGGCGGCTCCGCCTGGGGTCGCCCGAGTGTTCTGCCTGCTGCACCGCAGCATCGCAGAAGAAACGAAGACGGATCCAAACGAGCGAACCGCACAAGGCGTCCCGACAAACGCCCCCCTCCCTGGCGGCGAGTGTCCGACATGTCGCCTTGCTCAAATGCCCCAGAAATCGCCCCACGAACCTCCAAGAGGCCCCCAAGAGGGTGCAAAGGTGCAAAGGGGGCCCCGATCGGCCCCAGGAACACGAACATACATGTCGAACCCTCCGTCCCAATGATGATCCCCGAGACCGCCAGCAGGCACCTCACAGGCCCCTAAGAAACCCCAGGAGGCCCCCAAGAGGCCCAGAAGGACCCAAGAGACCCCGAGGCTACCCTTGACAGGCCCAGAGACACACCGAGAAACCACCCCCAAAAAACCACCCCCAAAAGCCTTCCAAAGGCCTCCCGATGTCGTCACAAGCGCCCAGGAGGCCTCAGATCAGCAACCTGGGCACGTTGCCGGGATGGGCCGGCGGCCACCAGATCCGCCGCCCCCTGCAGATTGCCACAAGAGTGCACGGAGTGCCAGATTTCAGATGGCTCTGGTTCCGTTTATGACCACGAAAAAAACACATCCCCAATCCCAAAATCGCGGATTCGCCGAGGATTCGAAGGTCGGCCAGAGATTTCGGGGTATGTTTTGCGTTCGCCGTCGTCACCCTGGCAAAACCCTACCCCAAACTCTCCCCCCCCCGAAGTCTCGAGGCGTCTGCGTTTCGTCCTGACCCCCGCGTTTTTGGGGATCGGGCGTCTGTTTCGAGTCGTTGAGTTTTAAAAGGTTCCCAGTGGGGTCTCGGGCGATCGCCTCGCCCTCCCAGAGGGCCGCAGAGATCCACAGAGAACCACCCCCCAAGCCGGCCAAGAGGACCTCCAAGACTGCCAGCATAGCCTCCACGACGGTCGAGACGGCCGAAAGAGAGAGCCCAAAACGGTCCCAAGGTGCACCCAAAACGGTCCAAGATGCACCCCAGACGGCCCAAAAATGGATCCACGACGGCCCAAGATGGCCTCGAGATGACCAGAGTCGGCCAGGGGGACCCCAATGATCGCTCCCAAAACGTCAAAAAAGCCTCCCATGTTGCTTCAAGGCAGCCCAAGAGGCCCCCAAGACGGCCCCGGGCGGGCCCCAAGCAGGCCCAAGATGACCCCAAATAGGCCCAAGAAAGTCCCCAAGAGGCTCAACGAAGCTCCCAGGACACCCCATCTGTGCCCCAAAAGGCCCCTACGAGACCATATCCTCCTCCTCCTCCTCCTCCTCCTCCTCCTCCTCCGCCTCCTCCTCCCCCTCATCCTCCCTCCTTCCTCCTTCCTCCTCCTCCTCCTCCTCCTCTTCGTCCTCCCCCTCCTAGTCCTCCTCCTCCTGCTTCGCAATTTCCCTCTCGAGCGTGGGACAGGCGGAGTGTCACCTTGGGAGCTCTGGACAGCAAACTTGGAAGTTGCAGTGCCGCCAGAAGCTGACAAGGGGAGCGCAGAGCTGTTGACGGGCAGAGGCGCGAAAGCTGGTACGCGTACCCTGACGAGGCAAACGACTCTGGAGAACGTGGTGCTACAGCTGATGATTAACGGGAGGCCACCGCAGCGAAGCACCACATCCATATTCGCTGCAGCAAGAACATGGGCGCCGTACACAATTTCGGGTCGGAGACGGTCTAAGCTGTGGGTGTCGTTCCCCCTCTCCCCTTTCATTCCCCACTCCTCCTCCTCCTCCTCCTCCTCCGCCACCACCGCCTCTCCCTCGAACCTCTGGCCTTCAAAGCGGTGGAGGGCAGGCCATCAGAGACCAAGAGCCCCAGGAACCGAAGCGAGAGAATGCAGAGAACGGCGAGGGGAACCACCCTCCGTCGCTGAAACGGTCGCACACTTGTACGACGACTGCGCGCGGCGCGAAAGCGACAGCTCCTCCTCCTCCTCCTCCTCCTCCTCCTCCTCATCCTCCTCCCCCTCCTCCTCCCCCTCCCCCATGTTGAAAGCCACCCGCCATCCATGTTTGAATGCGCTGCAGAGTTCTCAAGACGTGCGCGGCGCTCGGGCGAGAGCCGCACTTTGAAAAAACCACCCGCCCTCCGCCCTCGACAGTGGCGCGAGCGTTTGCGACGGAGGTTCGCAGCGCGCCAAGGCGAGCACAACGTGCTGAGAACGGCCCGCCCTCCAGCCTTGGCGCTGCTGCGAACTTTCAAGCCTCGGACTCGTAGGTTGAGACAGGACCTCCGGCGGAACGCCCGGTACGCCCTACCGACACGTCTGGGGGGTGCGACAGGCAGGAGCCATTCGCAAGGAAGAGGGACGGAGGAGGAGGAGGAGGAGGAGGGAAAGTAGAAAGAGCCATCGTCCCTGAGGAGAAGGAGTAGGACGAAGAGGATAGAGGAGAGGGGGGGGGAGGAAAGAGGAGTAGGAAACAGACTAGGGAGGAGAAGGAGGAGGAGGAGGAGGAGAAGGAGGAGGAGGAGGAAGAGTCACCACTGTCCTTGAGAGGGCGGGAGGGACGAGGACGAAGGAGAGACACTGGGAGAAGGGGAAGGAGGGGGAGGTTTGGGAGACAATACAATCGCCTGCCTGCTGGCTTGCGTGGGGAAAGAGGAGCAGGAGGAGGGGGAGAAGAAAGATAAAGAGCAAGTCCACGGTGCATCACTGTTGCTGTACTTGGCCCTCCTGCTCTGCATCCACCCCGCTCGCCGGTCCTTCCAATCATTCCCTCGAGCGCCCCGCCGGTCTGCCCTACAGGCGAGAGCCCCGCTTTGAAGAGGCACGGCCCTGCATCCTTCCAGATGTACCCGTCGGTCGGAAAAAGTAGGTGGAAACATGAAGTAGGAAGGCGTTAAAAATAGATTGGGTTTCCGCCCGCCCCTTAAAGAGGAGGGAAAAGGTGAAGCCACTCGATCGTTGAAGTAGGAAGACGCGTAAAGTAGATTGGAATCGGGGAATCCAAACATACCTACTCTCAACGACCGATGGGTACTGGTGCGGAATGCGGAGACCTAGGTTCAGAACGGTCAGTGGTGTATCCAACGAGGGCTCTGCTTTAAAATCGGACCGCAAGACGTCAGCGCAACGTTGGGGGGACGTTTCAATCGAGAGGCCGCTTTTGAAAAGGAGCCGCCCTCAATCCTATGCTTGTTGGAAGCATGTAAGACGAAAGCACGCGGCGCTGATGCGAGAACCGCATGTTCAATCGGCCGTGCAACTGTTGTAAATTCCACGTTCGTGAGAATCACATCACAAGCGGCGAGACAGTCTCGGGAGAAATTCCAAGACCGTCTTAACGATACGCCTGATGGTGCGATTAGAGGAGCGACTTGCAAAAGGGATGGAGGAGGAGGCGCAGGAAGGATCCGAGGGGAAAGGGAAGGAGGAGGATGGATCTGAGAAGGAAGAGGAGGGAGGAAGCGCAGGAGGGTGGAGGTCAAGGAGGGGGAGGGGCGCGCGAGACATGGCACGACAAAAGAAATGGGCCCAGCGCCGACCCAAGAAATCCGCGCGGATCTTCGAATGTCAGTGAGGATGAGGCACCTCGGCGGTCCCGTTTCTGTCCAGACGCCAAGACCTCTCCTGGGGCGGGTTCTGACCAGGACTTCGTGGCGAATCCAGCCGTGGCGATGAGAACCCTCCAAGGCGAGCAACGCTATGGGTATCGTTGAATCGTTTCCTTCTGTATCGACGATGACCGATTCGTCGCCCCGAGTCGCTTTTCACGGTCCAGGAGACCGAACGCGGCCCCCCCACACGCCCAAGACTGTTAATGCAACAGTGTGCTGATTCTGCGTCCCAGCCAAAAACAATAGGTATGCGAAGGAGGAGGTGGTGGAGGAGGAGGATGATCGGATCGGACGCCAGGGGGTGCTAGTGAGCGGAGGCTCGGCGAAACTCGGAGGCGGCGATGGGGGCGAATCGCCCGGGGGGAGCAACACATGCATCCAGGGGCGTCGGTGGTCCATGCCTTCGGCGAGGCTCCCGGGCGAATGCACGCAATGCCCGCCCCTGGGCTATTCTTTGCCCCCTATCGTCCCCTCCGACACTGAAGGGGCCCTGGGACACACAAATTCGCCGGCCCAACGGGCCAGGGCGTGCTAAGATCTCCGGTAACTGGTTAACAGTATTAACAATATTTCTAGTTCGCGCGCGCGGGGCGGCCCCTGGGGGTCCCCCGGCGAAAAGTACCCCGACCAACGCCCGGTCGCCGCCCGACCGCCGCCCGACCAAGTCTACTCAGAGATGGTTTTCCTTCTGGGTGCGGCCTCTCAGGCTCCCCAGAGCGCGCTCAGAGTGCCCCAAGAGGCCCCCAAGACTGCCCAAGAGGCCCCCGAGACGCCCAAAGAGCGCTCGAAGACGCCGAAGATGACCCCAAGACGGCCCAAAAGGCCCCCAAGACAGCCCAAGAGGCCTCCAAGACGCCCCAAGAGCCTTCCAAGAGGCCTCCGAAGAGAGCCCCAAGAGGCCAAAATCGTTGATTTTCATTGGTTTTTTCGATGTTTTTTGTGTTCTGGCTTTTTCGGCTTCCGGACGCTCCAAGACGGCCCAAGAGGCCCCCAAGACCGCTCCAAGACGGCCCACGAAGCTCCCAAGACGGCGCCGAAACGACCCAAGAGAGCCCTCAAGACGGCCCAAGTGCCGCCCAAGACGGACCAAGAGGCCCCAAGACGGGCCCAAGAGGGACTCAGGAGGGATACCGAGAACTCAAAAATGGAGCCCTCCGTCCCAGAAGGCGCCCAGGAGGTCCCAAAGAGGCCCCAAGAGGCCTCCAAGAGGCCCCAAGATGTCGCCAAGAGGCCCCAGGAGACTCCCAGGAGGCCCAAAAGAAGCCCCAGAAGGCTTCAAACATGTCTCCCAGGCGCCCCCGAACGGCCTCTCAACAGACCCCAAGAGGCCCCCCAAAGAAGCATCTTGACGACGACTCTATTTCGCCCCATCGAGAGACGACCCCCAGGGAACTGCTTCACCATCAAAACTCCCCACGCAACGCGTCCGAACGACACCCGCCCCCAAGAGCGCAACATGGGCAACGAACACACAGACAAAAACCAGCGATGCCATATCACGGGCCGGCGGAATGAGCGAAGCGATTCAATAAATACACACAAATAAAAATATTCCCCATATTTTCCAATATTGTCTGGGTTTTTGTGTTCCCGCCCGATTCCCATATTTTCCAATTTTTTCCTTGGGAATCGACGATTAATTGCGTCTGTGTGTTATTTCCCCTCCTGAGACACGTGGCCGACTTCCCGAGCGCCCCCCGGCGCCAGGGAGCCGCGCTGCATCGGGGGGGGGGGGGCCCGACGACGGGCTCCCGAGATCGAGCTCTGTTATTGGCCCCCGACTAGCGAGGAGGAGGAGGAGGAGGAGGAGGAGGAGGAGGAGGAGGAGGAGGAGGAGAGGAGGAGGAGGAGAGGGAGGAGGGGAGGAGGAGGAGGAGGAGGAGGAGGAGAGGAGGAGGAGGAGGAGGAGGAGGAGGAGGAGGAGGAGGAGGAGAGAGGAGAAGGAGGAGGAGGAGGAGGAGGAGGAGGAGGGGAGGAGGAGGAGGAGGGAGAGGAGGAGGAGGAGGAGGAGGAGGAGGAGGAGGAGGAGGAGGAGGAGGAGGAGGAGGAGGAGGAGGAGGAGGAGAAGGAGAAGGGAGGAGGAGGAGACCTAGGCCACGCGGCTCTCGGGGCATCTATGGCTGCGGTCTCTGGGGCGGCCGCCAGGCACGCTATCCTGGCAGCCCCCCCCCCCGAAGGCCCTCGGCGAATAGCGCGGCCTCGGCGCAGCGCGGCTGTGGAAGAAGAGCACTCCGCGGCGAGGCAGACTCCAGGAGCCGGCGAAGCCTTCCGAACGCCTACGTTGAGCAGGGTCCGACCGCCCTGGCATGTCTATAGGCCTACCACCACATGCTCCTAGAACCCCCCAAAATATGTTCCAAGAATAGAAGCCATGTTCTTAGAACACAAACCCGACGTGTTGAAACAAGGACAGTGCCAGCCAGAAATGTTCCAAGGACAGTTCGTGGAAACCGCAACAGGCTCTTGCAACATTGCTTGGTAGGCCTACAGGCACGCCAGGACGCTTCGCCACTGCTTGACTACGGCGATTCCCAGCTGCAGTTCGTCCTCGTCCCCGCCCGAGGAGGAGGCGCCGCCTCGGCCTTGGCCGAGCCGTCGTCCGAGACCGCCTGGGCGCGGCGGGCGCGGGGCGCGGCGCCGCCTCCCCGCCGCCCCGCGGAACAGCCGCCGCGGGCCGGCTGGCTCCCGGGCCCCGTCCCCAGGGGCGAGGGGGGGGGGGGGGACGGCAGATCCGGGCCCGGGCCTGCTCCTCCTCCTCCTCCTCCTCCTCCTCCTCCTCCTCCTCATCCCCTCCTCCTCCTCCCTCCTCCTCCTCTCCCCTCATCCTCCTCCTCGTCCTCCTCATCTCCTCTCCTCCTCCTCGTCCTCCTCGTCCTCCTCTCGTCCTCCTCCTCGTCCTCCTCCCTCGTCCTCCTCCTCGTCCTCCTCCTCCTCCTCGTCCTCCTCCCTCGTCCTCCTCCTCCTCCGCCTCCTCCTCCTCCCTCCTTCTTCCTCCTCCTCCTTCCTCCTCCTCCTCCTCCTCCTTCTCCTCCTCACCCCTCTTCCTCATCAGAAACTCCTTGCCGCACCCCTTGACGTGTTGGCCGGGCGGGCCGGGCGCTTCGCCTGAGACTTCCTCACCGCTTATGGTCCTGAAGCTCACACTTTGCATCAGCTCCAAGGGTTCAGGGCGAGTGGTCTTCAAAAAGATGATCTCGCCTGAGCGCCGCGCACATTCGTCTTGAAAGTTTGCAGCGGCTTCAAGGATGGATAGCGGCTAGCTTTCAAAATGTGTCGATCGCCTTTAGAGCACAGCGCATGTATTGTCAAGGTTGCAACTGCTTCAAGGATGGAGGGCAGCTTCTTTTCAAAAGGTGTTCGCCTTCGCGCTGCGCACGTGCGTCTTAACAGCGTGCACAGGCTACCAAAGGTCGTGCGGCTGCAGTCTCAGGAACGGCGTTCTAGCGTGTCGCAGGAGTGTCAGGACGCGACAATCACGTTGGCTCGTGGTGATACAATCTACCAGCCTGGAACATATCACTATCCCTATGCTGGGCATCTCCTCATCACGATGCCAATCTTAGGGATTCCCTTATTTTTGACGGCGAATCCCTAAGATTGTCATCGCCTTTTGGCGTGTCAATCTTAGGGAAAGGGATAAGTTCGAGGCTGGTAAACAGTCCCAAGAACGGCGTCCTGGCACGGTTTAAGAACCATGGTCGGGAAGCAACCGTCACGTTGCTTCGCGGCGGTGACGTCCCAGGACTGTTGCTGTGGCACGACTGGGGTTCTCAAACAGTTGCCGTCCAGTGGGGCACTTCCAGCAGTGAGTAGAAGTTCCTGCTCAGGAGGGAACTTGGAGGAAGGATTGATTGCAACATCGTTGATGCGTATTGGTCCTCCTCCTTCTCGGCGCTCCTCCTGTACGTGGACAATAAGTTCGAACCCTGCGGTGCAAAACGCCTCCCCCGGACACACCCAATTCATATTGAGGGTGCGGCAGTGGTGGAGGCTTGAGCTGACAAAAATGTTCCAACCTCATCTTCCTCCTCGTCCTCGGTTCGGTTCGGTTCGGTCTGCGGCAGGAGGTTCGATGGTGACCGTTTTTTCATTCCCGGGTAGCAGTCGCTACCCCGGGGTGATGGGCAAGCGGGAAGGTAACGGTAACGGCGGCCGCGGCGTGCACCCGCCAGGGTGCGTCCGCGCCGCCGGCACAATGTCCCCCCAGCATGTAGGGGGTGGGGTGCAAGCCACCCCCCCAACACGATCGTTAGAGGGGGAAGGGGGGGGTTCGGCCCGGGTAGCTAGCGTCACCCTGGGGAGACACAAACGCTCACATGCCAAAACGGAGGGAGGGAAGCGAGGAGACCAGTGAACGAAGAGCAGGGCAGAGGCAGCAGCGGGCCCAGGAGTGGATGGAGCTGCTGCCGCGCCAGAGGCGCGTGCACCAGACAATGTGCGGAGCGCGCCGAATTCTGTGACCTTTGACCATGGGTGTACGCTGCGATCGGGTGCGAGGAAATCCGAAACCGTGCCTTGTGCACGTCGGGGCGTTGAAGAATGCCAAGGTCTGTCTGGTAGGGCGTCGGTATGCTATGAAGGGACCCCCCACTCTACGAGCGTCTGAGCGCATGCACCGCCACGCCTCCCGAGGCCGCGATCCCCTCGTAAAAAAATATGTTTCCACGTTCCCGCGGCCGAGATCCTGGGCGACGGAAAAACGATGTGTCCGCCTCCCGGGCTTCCAAGCCAGTCCAGACAACCAAGGACACCAGACGACCCAAGATGGCCCCGAGGCGACCCAACATGGTTTCAAGACGGCCCAAGGTGCCTCCAAGAGGACACAACAGGGCCACAAGCGGGCCTCCAACAAGGTCCTAAGAATTCCCAGACAATGATTGCCCGTGGATGTTTGGAATGGTTGTCGCATTCTCGCCTTTTCTGGGCTTCCGTCAGCTCTCCACGGCCCAAGAAGCCTCCACAATGGCCTGAAGACGGCCCAAGGAGCAGTGGACCCCAAGATGGCCCACGAGGTCCCACGATGGCCCAAAAGGTACCCAATACGGCCCCAAGACGGCCCCAGAGGACACCCCGGCGGGATCCAAGACGGCATTAGACGGCTTTCGACAGCGCTGAACGCCTCCGCGAAGGACCCCAGACACCCATCATACGGCCAAGAAGGCCCCTCGACGGCCCCCGAGAGCCCCAATGCCCCAAAACTGCCAGAGAAGACCCCAAAGGAACTCCAAGACTGCTTGACAGGAGGCCTGGACTGCCCCAAAACGGCCCAAACGAGTTCCACAAGAGCTCCTCAAGTAGTGAAGACGAACTGCGTCACATGTGACGGCCTTCCTCTTCCTCTTCCCCCTGCTCCTACTCCTGCTCCTTCTCCTCTCCATCCTCCTCTTCCTGGTCTAATTCTAACACCTCCTCCTCCTCCTCCTCCTCCTCCTCCTCCTCCTCCTCTCATCATCATCCTCCTCCTCCTCCTCCTCCTCCTCCTCCTCATCATCATCATCATCACCATCTTCATCAACATCACCACCACCACCACCTTCATCAGCAGCATCATCATCATCAACATCATCACAAGCATCATCCTAATCATCTCTGTAGTCGCCGTGCCTCGTCCACTCCTCGGGCCCATACTACTTGGCTAGGGTCGCTTTCCGGTCACTGGTGGCCGTCACACCCGCGCGGCGGGGTGCAGACACAACAAGGTGTGTCTGAACATCGGGCAACCGCTGCGGCTGCGCCGCGCGGTTGCGGCACCCCACCAAAACCCAACAACGAGCTGTCCCTCCTGACCTTCTACATCAATCGTCGGTTTCCACCTTGAGGTATCGGCAGCAGTGTGCACTGGCCGAGGCGTGGTTCATTTCTAATCACTTTCTCTTTCTCGGCTTCTTCTTTTCTTCTTCTTCCGCGAAGTGCATGATACTTGCTTGTCATGCTACTGGGTGGAGAAACTACCTCTGCTGGAGTCGTGTCTCGCTAGCCGTCGGCCGTGCGCGGAGTCCCTCCAGTCTCCAGTATGGTACCGCAGCCGTCAGGGACACGACCTTACCGTCGGGCCGAGTGGGGTAAGGTGAACGGCAGGCCCGGGGCCGCCGCCGGCGACGCGACGTTCAACGCGGGTCCAGCAGCGTTGCGTGATGAACCTCGTGGTTCCCTGCCGCGCAATCTCGCGTCCGATTCTGACGAACAGCATTATTATCCTGTGGATTGGATGTCCTGGTGTCGGGGACCTGCTCCTGCTTCCTTGACGTGCTCTTCTGCGCGGAGCGTTCCCTGGAGGTGTTCGTGGGCAGGGTCATCGTGCAGCGCTTCAACGGCGGTCTCCTTGATGAAATCGAGCGCGGAGGCGTTTTCCTCGAGGGCGCTCGTGGAGGTTATGTGCTTCTCCTTCACCTTCGCCACGCCGATGCTCATAGACGCCTCTTCGGAAGGTGCTCGTGGGAGGTCTTCGTAATCGGGGTGCTCGCGGAGGCCTCCTCTGGGATGGTGCTCGTGAAGGTTCTGTACGCGCTGGTGCTCGCAAATGTCTTCTTCGGAGGGTGATCGCAGGGGTCTTCTTCATGGGCGTGTTCGTGGAGGCCTTCTCTGGAAAGGTGCTCGCGGAGGTCTTGACTTCGGCGCTCGTAGAGGCGTTCATCGGGGGGTGCTCGTGAAGGCAGTATTCTTGAAGGTGCTCGCGGATGCCTTCTCCAGGAGGGTGCTCGTAGAGGTTCTTTCGGTACTGGCGCTTGCGAAGGCCTTCTTCGGAGCACCATCGCAGAGGTCTTCTTCGTGGATGTCCTCGCGGAGGTCTTCTACGGGAGGACGCTCGCATAGGTTGTCTTTGCTGGCCTTCGCGGAGCCCTTCTTCGGAGAGCTCGTACAGGCCCTCACGAATGTGCTCGCGGAGGCCTTTTTCTGGGAGGATGCCCGTGGATGTCTTTTTCGTGCCAGTGCTCTTGGAGTTATACTGTGCTTCGCGTTCGTGGAGGTATTATTAAGTCGGGCCTGTCCCTCTACAGAGGGAATATTCAAAAATAGTCAAAAATAGTTTGGGAATTATTTTTCGAGTATGTTTGGGCATCGTTTGAATATTTGTTGGGTATCTTTTATTTTTCCCTACCTAGGCTCTGCCTAGAAGGGTTCTTACTCTGTTAGCTAAAGGGGACGGGCAATGCTAATCGCCCCGGGCGGTTCCCCCAGTCCCCGCCCCGCGGTTCCCCCAGTCCCCTGGGAGCATTAGCCTTAGCTTTAGCTTTAGCTTAGCTTTAGCTTTAGCTTTAGCTTAGCTTCAGCTTAGTGATAGCTTAGCTTTAGCTTAGCTTTAGCTTAGCTTTAGCTTAGCGTCAGCTTAGTGTTAGCTTAGCTTTAGCTTAGCTTTAGCTTAGATTTAGCGTAGATTCAGCTTAGTGTTAGCTAAGATTTAGCTTAGTGTTAGCTTCGCTTTAGCTTAGATTTAGCTCAGCTTTAGCTTAGCTTTAGCTTAGCTTTAGCTTAGCTTCAGCTTAGCTTTAGCTTAGCTTTAGCTTAGCTTTAGCTTAGCTTCAGCTTAGCTTTAGCTCAGCTTCAGCTTAGATTTAGCTTAGCTTTCGCTTAGCTTTAGCTTAGCTTTAGCTTAGCGTTAGCTTTAGCTTAG